AATACACAATTAATTTTTAAAAATATTATTTAAAGAATAAATAATATTATTTGTCATGGAGTCGATGTTTCCACGATGAAGCAGTGGGGTCCAACCAGAACCAGCCAACAATGGGACAACTGGCAATTTACCAAATGGGGCCCAGTGGGCCACCACCAGATACTCACTGACAAAAGAAGGAAATTGCCAGACTATGTGTCAACAAGCAACTACTGCGGCATTGCATCATGAGTTTCATGACGTTTGTCTTTCTTTTTCCTTTGTAAGCCCAATGGGTGTCATCCACTTCCCACCAGGATAAGGCCCATCAGGGTCCAATTAATCACACTCTCCATAATTATCTTGGATTTTTTTTAAATGTATTTTGAATTTAAATAATTTAAGAGTACATTTAAAATAAAAAGTTTTGAATTTAAGTTACATATATGTGAATAGAATAAGGTAATGAACTAATGAATGAAAAAAATTGATTTTTATTATGTAATCAAGATTCAAACAAAAAAAAAAAGCTTACATAAGAATGAATTTATTTAAAATTTTGTTTAGCTAAACAAATTCATAATTCAGCCAATAGAATTCACATATGTACCAAAAAAATAAAATTAAAAAATATCCTAATCAACCATTTAAATTTCAAATATAATTCAAAATTAAGAAAAATAGCAACCTAATAAAGTAAAATCTTTTAATATTTTTTGTATGAAGTAAAGATTTTAAACTTAGAGGCCAAGCAATATACTTGGTTGACAAGCAACTCCAATTATGCATAAAATACCATTTTTTAAAAAATATTTTAAACTGAGATATTAATTAATCTACATGAATAGTCAAAACTCAAAAATAGTGACCGAATGATGCTAATTTCTAACTTCACTAAACGGTTCGATGGTCATACGCCTTATTAAAATTAGTAAATTGTTCATCAGATATGAGGATTGAATCTCCAGTTGTTAATATTTAACAATACTAACCTATTAATTATTACTTTTATAAAAAAAAAAAAAGAAGAATGACGCTAATTCCTACGAACGTGTACAAAACTGATTGGCTCTCTGTGGTTTATCACGGGCTCATTTTTCCATGACGGTGGAAAGGGCAAAACAAAACTACCCTCACTTCGCTGTCACAAAATCAATAAAAAGAACCTTCACTTGTCAAAATAAAATGATAAGACTGGGACGCGGGTGTGGTTTTGAGTTTTTAAATTTAAGCGATTTTATCAATTATATAAATTTAAAATGCATTTGAACATTAGTAATTAATTTAATAATATTATAATTATAATATTATATAAATTTATAAATTTATAATTATATA